ATCATCATCATCATTCCAATGGAAAACCTCAATGAGAATCTTGGTTATCTAGACCCTAATTTTATCCAACATCCTCCTCTAGGTCAATTTCCTCTCGAAATATAAGCTCCAAATCCCCTAATGGTCATTCGTGATCATTACTCTCCTAATGTGTACAATGCATCTATATACATTTAATTGCCATACTTTAGGGCCGATCACTATGAAATTAAACCCTCCATCATCCAAATGTGCCCACTTTTCTATTGGTTGAACAATGAAGAACCTTATAAGCATTTGGATAAGTTTCTTGAGGTGTGCTCTACCCTGAAAATCACGGATGTCCCGGAAGAGGTTCTTAAGTTAATGCTCTTTCTTCTTACTCTTCGAGGCAAGGCCATGTATTGGTCTAACAACTTAGGAGTGAATACCATAACCTCACGGGCTCAAATGCAAAATGAATTCTTGAAAAAGTATTACCCCGCTAGCCGAACCAATGCAATGAGAACCACAATTAGGGAATTTTCCCATGGGGATGGAGAACTTCTGCATGAAGCATATGAGAGATTGGACGAGTTGCTAAGGAAGTGTTCACATGATGACATTCCAAAATGGAAATTAGTTCAATATTTCTACGAGAGCTTATCCGATACCCACAAGGGTATAGTGGATGCTTCATGTGGAGGTTCATATTTTGGAAAACATGAGGATAACATTTGGCACTTCTTTGAAAATATGAGCGAAAATTTAATGCACAAATCTCAATCCTCTCAAGTAAGTCATAATTCCAATGTGGGTGGGAACAACTCAAATTTGTGTCAAGTAGAGAGTACAATGGAGATTGTAACCGAAGTTAAAACTCTTACCCAAAGACTTGACCAATTCTTATTGAGTCAAAAACCGGCAATCCAATCATTCTACTCTTTTCATCCCCAAGATGAAGTGTGCATGACTTGTTCTAATTACAACTATAATGCTTCCAATTGTCCCCAAAGACAAGCCTTTTCAAGAGAGCAACATGAACAAGTTAATACCACATTCGCCTATCCTTACACTAATGCTTATATTCCGGGATGGAGTAAGACTCCAAACTTTTCTTAGAAAAACCAAGGAGTCGGTGTAAACCTTCCACAAAGTCAAAATTTCCAAGGAAGGTATGTGTCTCCTCATATAAGAAATGAAAATTCTCAAAAGTTCCATCCATCCTCCTATCATCATCAGAATATGAATCAATTTTCTCATCCTCAAGCTTACAATTCTCAAGTGTAATCTCATCAATCTCAAGCACCTCCTAGGAATCCCACCTTTAAGGAAAAGGTTTTAGTAGCCTTGGGTGGCTTAGAAGCAACCAATCAATTGTTGCACTCTCACTCTCAATCTATCTTAAAGCTTGAATCCTAAATCGGGATAATAGCCAATTCCATGAATGTAAGAGAAAAAGGCAAGTTGCCTAGCCAACCCTATAGAAATCCTAAGGCATATTATATAGTGGAAGTAAGTCCTACGTTGGGATTCCCTCCACATGAGCAAGTGTAAGCTATAACCACCTTGAGAAGTGGTAAAAAAGCTGATAATAGGGTAGAAAGACCAAACAAAGATAGTGAACCGGTGCAACCAAGTGTTGACACCTGTCTCGTTTCCAATCCTATTCCTACTTCATTGGATGTAAGTGGTTCCAAAAAGAATTCTCCTTCATCATCTCCCCAAGTTGAAAAATCGTATAAGCCAAAAGCTCCATTTCTTTATGCTTTGAGAGAAACTTCATTGTTTGGGAGATAAAAAGAAAAATCCATGACATGATGGAAGTTTTCAAGCAAGTTAAAATCAACCTTCCTCTCTTAAATGCTAATAGGCATATTCCACCATATGCAAAGTTCATGAAGACTTGTGCACACAAAATAGGAAGAACAAGGGACAAAGTGCTAAGAAAGTGTTTCTCAAGGAGCAAGTGAGCTCCATTCTTCTCCATAACACCCCCACTAAATTCAAAGATCCCGATGCTCCGACCATTTCTTGTGTAATTAGAAACCATGAGGTTCGTAGAGCTCTTCTTGATTTAGGGGCAAGTGTTAATCTCATCCCTTACTCCGTGTATGTGCAATTAGGATTGAGTGACTTGAAACCGACCTCGGTGGTACTTCAATTGGCCGATAGATCCGTTAAGAAGCCTAGGAGAATGATTGAGGACATCCTCATCAAGGTTAATAAATTCTATTTCCCAGTTGACTTTATGGTACTAGATTCCAAATTGGTCTCCAATCTGATTAATCACATTCCAATCATCTTAGGAAGGCCATTTCTTGCCACTGCAAATGCAACTATAAATTGTACGTAGGTCTGGCATTATGGACATCTCTTTTGGCAACATGATGGTCAAACTCAGTGTGTTCAATGCAAGTTGACATCCTATCGATGAAGACGAGTGTTGTCTTGTAGATGTTTTGGATGAAATTGTAGAAGAGTCTACCCCTTTATTTTCTCACCTTAATCATCTTTAGCTTACTTCTTTTGCATGTTTCTTAGTATAATTGTAGTATAAACAAAACAAAACCCCTCTTTTGATCATTCGACTTACTAATTCGAATTTAATTCCAAAATACGCTTGCGGTCTCTTGGGATGATCTCTTCTCACTTCATACTATATAGTATAAGTATTAAGCGATTTTTATAAATTTTTAAATGTGGTGGCCGTTTTTCACGTCTTTTTAGTACTCGACTCACAAACGCACCAATAATGAATCACCATCTCCGGCACCAGTGCCAGAGCCTATGTCATCACCTGTACTGGCTCCTGCCAGTACTCTTATGTTGTCACCTGTGCTAGATCTTGCCATTACTTCTCTGACTTTTCTTCAGATGGAATGTTATGAATAAAAGAGAGAGAGAGAGAGAACGCTTCTGCCATTACTTCTCTGACTTTTCTTCACATGGATCGTTATGATTAGAGAGAGAGGGCGATCCTGCCAATTACTTATTTGACTTTCCTTTAGACGAAACATTATGAATAAGAGAGAGATAAAGAGGGGTATTGGGAGAAAGGAAGTGGTTGTGTCAGTGTTACTAGTGGGGGCATTGTGGTCATTTTAATTCTATGATATTTTAAATTAAATTGTATTAAAGAAATGAAGGTAAAAATTTCTATTCACATATTTTTAAGGGTGTCAAGGACAAAAAAGTGATTTAGGTGAGAGTGAAAAATATTTTCTAAATTTCTCTTTATGTGAGATTTGCCAAAGCTTAATAGGTTTCATTGTAATTAACTTAAGATTTTTTATGAGAAAGTTCATTTCCATGGGTGCATAGGCTTCCATAACGAAAAAGAGAGTTAATCTTCATAAATGAGATATTGCTGTATCACGTTAATCACCATTTCGTCTAAAAAGTTTAATTTGTTAAAGAGGAAGTAATTTTAATATTCAAAATTACCAAAAGGCCTCTATTCTAATGGTATAAGGCCATGTTTGGTGTGGATGAATGGAATCAAATCAAAGGGAATGGAATGATTTTCTTTCCATTCTTGTGTTTGGTGTGGTCTATTAAAGGTGGAATCATCATTCTCCACCATTCTTGGAGAATGGTCATTCCACCAAAATCATTCCTTCTCTATACTAATGGAATGGGCATTCCATTCCCACATGGAATAGGAATAACCAAAAAAAAAAAAAAAAAATCAAAAAACCTATTCATCATTCCTTTTCTAAATCAAACCCATCTCTGTTCTCTTCCAACCTATTCGTCTCACTACACCTTGTCTCACCATCGCCGCTATCTTCCTCTCTCACTACAGATTCGTTTTCCTCTCTCACTACCCCTTATCTCACCTTCGCCGTCGGAGACCACAACACAACCCAACCCAACCCAACCCAACTGCCTCTCTCGTCTCCAAGTGCTGGTTTCACCTTCGTCATCTCCCTCCGCTGTCTTCCTCTGCCGCCAGAGACAGATCCATCTTCCTCTCTCACTATCTCACCACCGCCGCCGGAGACCCTCCACCTGCAACTGCAAATAAAAATTAGCATAATCCCATCCACCATGTTGCAATATGATATTGTGTCAAAACTGTGAATATTTTTAATTTGGAATTCTGTCGCCTCCCCTTTTGATCACCTTCTTCTTAACATGGCATCGTCTTACCTTCTTGCCCTAATCTTCAACAACTTGCCCTAAATTGACGTTAATTTTTTTCTTAATTTTTTTTTTCTTTTAAGTTAAATTTTTTTATTCATGATAAAGGGTAATTTGGAGATATCAATATAAATTAATTTCATTTCAACTTTTAATTTGGTTCAATGAAACACGTGAATGAGAATCAGCATTCCATGTTTGCAGCATTTCATATTTGCAACCAAACACTAGAATGGAATGGTCATTCCCATTCCATTCTCATTCCCATTCCATTCTCAATTTCATTCCATTCCCACTCTATTTCATTCTTGTACACCAAACCTCAATAGCACAGTGAATTAGTGTATCTAATAAATCTTAAAGTGTGACCCTCTGCGTCTAAACATCTAACCTCTAACATCTAGCTTTTATAGCCTTGCCAAAAAAAGAAAAAAAGAAATTGGTACGAGGCATGGAGCCACATATGAATGCCCCAGAATATTACAACTCTAACTTTGTCAAAATCCTATTAATGCTGGCCCTCACTAACAAAACCCCTTATACATATTTAAACCCCAAGATTGCCACAATCTTCTCTTCTATCTCCCACCAGGCAAATTGTGGATAACGGGGGGTTTATGGGACTTTGACAGAAAAAAGAAGAAAAAAAAAAAAGGGCTCCTAAATGGTGCACACAAACGCGCCCTAGCTTTCGAGCCTAATAGGCTTAGCCATGAAAAACCAAAAGCCGAAGCCAATCCAAAACAGAAAAAACAGTTGGAGCTTAAAGTTAGTTGAGACTTTTAGTCTACACTCTCCTCTCTACAATATCTAACGGTCAACTCCTACCAGCCTTTTTTGCGCTCTCTCTGAAATAAACACACTACGAAGCTCATTGGGTTCATTCGTTTGTTTTATACCCTTAAATTAAACAGGCCCCACTTTTCTCTCTCATCTCCTCTCTGTCTTTCTCTCTCTAGAACTCCCCATTGCCCTTCCCCCATAAAACAACCCACTCGTCACCCACAACCCAGAATTGCCATGGGCGTCGACATGTCCAATAATCCTCCAACTTCTCGTGCCAAAGACTTCTTCGCTTCTCCAGCTCTCTCTCTCTCCCTCGTATTCTTCAAACCCTCTTATTTTTTCATTCACACTATGTGATATATACACATATATATATACAAATATAATCATATATAACATTTTTCCCAATTTATTTTGATTCTTTAGGATGCAATCTCTCTATATATTTATACATGTATCATATTTATACATGTATATGTATCTATGTATGATCATCATATACGTGTGTAAATTTTATTTTTGTTTTCTTGTTTTGAAGGCTGGGATTTTCCGAGATGGAGCGGCGGCGGCTGCGGCGGCAGACATGGAGGTGGAGGAGGGAGATGAAGGAAGTGGTGGCGGGAGAGAAGGGACGGTGGAGATCAGCAGTGAGAACTCGGGTCCGGTGAGATCGCGTTCTGACGACGAATTTGACGGTGAAGAAGAGCAAGACGACGACGGCGGCGGCGGAGACAAGAGCAAGAAGAAAAAGAGGAAGAAGTATCACAGACACACTGCTGAACAAATCAGACAAATGGAAGCGTGAGTGCTCTTCCTTGCTATCTCTTTTTGTGTATATCAGCTAATATGCATTTGTTGAAACAAGTTGAGGCGAGTTAGTGGGTTGACTCGGAACATCGCCCGAGTTAACTCAACTGTAATTGAGTCAGGTAGATTTTGGAGTTTTGGCTTTAATTAAGCTTTTAATATGGTTGGTGTAAAGTCTGAATTTAGTCAATTCATTAGTTCTGCATCTTGATTTTTCTGGTACAATGTTCTGTGTGTGAATTACGGAGTAATTGATTATCAAGAAACTAACTTCATTCAATTCTGAATTAATTAGTCCATTTAATTAGCAGCTAAAAAATAAGATTATTATTATTTTTTTTTCCTCTTCTCATCTGTGATCACAAATACTTTTAATAGTCTTAAAAAGGAAAAACGAAGTTAATGCCATAGATTTAAGAAAGTTATAAAGTTGATGGCAGAGACTTAAGAAACAAGATTATAAAGTTAAAGAATATAGCTTTTGACAACTTTAGTATATATATATGATAAAACAGTAATATATACATATATAGATATATATGCACACACAAAGAAGGCTTTATATATATATAATGTGTATGAAGCTCCAATATCTGTTAAAAGTTACACACATTTTATGAATTTTCAAGCTTATATACCACATTTGCAGGCTATTCAAAGAGTCACCTCATCCAGATGAGAAGCAAAGGCAGCAACTGAGCAAACAATTAGGCCTTGCTCCTAGGCAAGTCAAGTTCTGGTTTCAAAATCGTCGAACGCAAATCAAGGTATTACCAGTTGGCATTTCTATCCAATTTGTGTTCAAATGTTTCGTTTTTCGCGTTATCCGATAAAAAAAAAATTAGGAGTTTAATACCAAACACTATTCATTTCTAATGTCTGCATAGTTTAGTAAATCAGAAATGGCTGTGAACAAGTAATCTCTATCCAATTTGTGTTTAAATGTTTGGTTTTTCGCGGTAAAATAAGTGTGGCTATGAACAATTACGTAGTTTTTATATATGTATGAATCTTTTAGCAGTTCTTTGAATGGAAAATGGGATGATGAGTACTGCAGGCTATACAAGAACGCCATGAAAATTCTTTGCTGAAAACAGAAATGGATAAACTCCGCGACGAAAATAAGAGCTTGAGAGAGACCATAAAGAATGCTGCTTGTCCCAATTGTGGCTTTGCTACCTCTAGCCGAGACGCCTCTGCCACGACCGAAGAACAACAGCTCCGAATTGAGAATGCCAGACTCAAATCCGAGGTACTGTGAAAAATTAACAGCACAAGAATTGCTCTTACCCATCTTCATTAAACAAACGTATATGTACCATTGGATCGTTGACACTTGTGCATATGTTAGCCATTCGTTGTAAGGCCCTTTGTCACGGCCTTTGTGTTTTTTTCAAGCGCTCGTGTGGCCTTAGACACTTTCAAGCACCCTTGAAGTGCTAAGTCGGTATTTGTATGATTTGCAGATTGAAAAACTCCGAGTAGCTGTTGGGAAATACCCTCCCGGAGCATCACCAACAACCTCCTCATGCTCAGCTGGGAATGACCAAGAGAACAGAAGCTCTTTAGATTTTTACACTGGGATTTTCGGGCTTGAGAAGTCGAGAATTATGGAGATAACGAATCAAGCAATGGAGGAGCTCAAAAAGATGGCTAGTGCAGGGGAACCTCTCTGGCTTCGCAGCGTTGAGACTGGCCGGGAGATACTGAATTATGATGAATACATGAAAGTGTTTTCTGCTGAAAATTCCAGCAATGGAAGGCCTAAAAGATCCATCGAGGCCTCAAGAGAGACCGGGGTTGTCTTTCTGGATCTCCCAAGGCTACTTCAAAGCTTCATGGATGTGGTATGTATGATACTTTGATCTCTACAGACGTGCTCCAAAACTAGTCATCTTAGTCTGTATAGCGTGTCTATATATATATAAATCTGTTTTTATAATACCCTTTTTGGGATTTTCTTCCTTTGTTATGTAGAATCAATGGAAGGAGATGTTTCCATGCATGATCTCAAAAGCAGCTACTGTGGATGTTATCAGCAGTGGGGAGGGTCAAAACAAGAATGGTGCTGTTCAATTGGTGAGTAACCTGTAAAAACTTGCTGATTTTCTCCAATATGCATGTGATATGGATTATATCAATAATACTCAAAAAAAATTATTATTATTATTTTTTATTTTTAATTTTTACTTAAAAACGTTTTATGCTTGATCATGAATCTAATTATATATACTAATAGATTTCCAATTTGTTATGTATGGATGATGAGGTTCCAATGATACCTAATCAATTCCAATAGAAAGAGAGCCTATAATTGCATGATTTGGTAAAAGACATTTAGTTAATCATACATTTGGTCTCATCATGGTCAAATTTCTAAAGTTTGAACTCCAGGACATGCACACACACACACACACACAAACTAAAAAGGGCAAGGATGATCATGACTTGTGAAATCATTAAAACCTTGTTGAATAGGTGTTTGCCTTCCAAGTTCTTACTTTCTTTTCGGCTGCAGATGTTTGCAGAGCTGCAAATGCTCACACCAATGGTGTCAACAAGAGAAGTGTATTTCGTACGACATTGCAAGCAATTGAGTGCCGATCAGTGGGCAATTGTTGATGTCTCTGTTGACAAAGTCGAAGACAATATTGATGCATCTCTTGTAAAGTGCAGAAAACGCCCATCCGGTTGCATCATTGAGGATAAAACAAATGGCCATTGCAAGGTAATTTTACACATATATATATATATATATATATATATATATATATATATATATATATATATTCTCTGTTTTACATTATAAGATGAATGAGACAACTGTTAAATTTTCTTCTATTTGCTTGTGTAAATATGAGTAAATGACCTTCCAATGCTTATCAGGTGACCTGGGTAGAGCACTTGGAATGCCAGAAAACAACTGTCCACACTATGTATCGTTCCATTGTTAACAGCGGTCTAGCTTTTGGCGCGAGGCATTGGGTGGCGACGCTGCAGTTGCAATGCGAGCGCCTAGTGTTCTTCATGGCAACAAATGTTCCCACCAAGGATTCAAGTGGTAAGCCTACAAAAATTCTTCAACATTTTTGTCTAGGTTCAAATTTGCCACAACAACTGATCATGATTACTCTCGTTATCGAACCCTAGGAGTCACCACACTAGCAGGGAGGAAGAGCATTCTGAAACTGGCACAAAGAATGACTTGGAGTTTTTGTCGTGCACTCGGAGCATCAAGCTTCAATACATGGAACAAGGTCCCAAGCAAGACGGGGGATGACATAAGGGTAGCTTCCCGGAAGAACTTGAATGACCCCGGAGAACCTCTTGGGGTGATCCTTTGTGCAGTTTCATCTGTATGGTTGCCGGTCTCTCACCATGTCCTGTTCGATTTCCTGAGAGATGAAGCGCGCAGAAACGAGGTTTAAGCCCTTTCCCTTCTTTGCACACACACACACACACACACATTGTGAGGTGAAAATTTGTTTTGATGATTCTGATGATTGTGTGTTTTTCAGTGGGACATCATGTCAAATGGAGGTCCAGTAGAATCCATTGCAAACTTAGCCAAAGGACAGGATAGAGGCAATGCAGTCACCATCCAAGTGAGTTCTCTCTAAATCAAAAGGACCCCCTAAATTAAAACCACAGTTTGAAATTTGGATCTAATTCGAATCAACGTTTTCGAATTCCAGACAATGAAGTCGAAAGAGAACGGTATGTGGGTGCTCCAAGATAGCTGCACAAATGCTTATGAATCCATGGTGGCCTATGCTCCTGTGGACATCAGTGGCATGCAGACTGTGATGAAGGGTTGTGACTCCAGCAGTATTGCCATATTACCTTCCGGTTTCTCGATTCTTCCCGACGGACTCGAGTCGAGGCCTTTGGTGATAACTTCCAAGCCAGAGGAGAAGAGCACAGAAGGGGGATCTTTGCTCACCATAGCATTTCAAATCCTGACCAGTAGCTCTCCCACTGCCAAACCTACCATGGAGTCTGTGGAGTCTGTTAACACTCTTATATCATGCACATTAAGAAATATAAAGACTAGCTTGCAATGTGATATGGATGAGTGATATTATTCCTAATAGATACATAGGATAGGTATTAACTGTAAAATCCATAGACTCAAGGCTTCTATTTTCCATTTCTTTTGGGGATTTTTTTTTTTTTTTTTATAGGTATTTTTTGTATCTCTTGATTGTTATGAAAATGTTCTTTTTAGTGGTGGCTTTCTTCTATAACCAAACATGGAGCTCAGGAATACCTGTACTCAATCTAAAGAGAGATAATTTTCAATCTTCATATATCAATGTTTTTTCCTTCATTATATTTATTTATTTAATTTTTTTCTGGCTATATGGTATAAAGTCAAGATACATCAATATGATAGCAATAGTGAGGTGCTGTTTGATCACAATAAGCTCAGAATTAGTTGAAAAGCGAAAGGGAGAGCCCTTCAAATGGTTCAAAACATCTTATAATCCAAGAAAAATATTCTCTGCAAAAACTATAAATGAAGTAAATGGGAATCTAAATCTGCTAATAAAATTGCCTGCCCACTGAGCAAAAAGTGCATAAACTCTCTGAAAAGGGTCCCATAGAGGACGAGAAAGCAACTATACAGGAATCACACACACAGAGACACACACACATATGCATATATGTTTTAAGCAAAGATTAAATAAAAGCGCAACATTGGTAATGCATGGTCAATTATCATAAAAACTCTGAAAAGGATCTAGAGAAGACGAGAAAGCAACTATACAAGAATCACACACACACACACGTATATATATAATATAATATTATAAGTAAAGATTACCTAAAAAGGATTAGCCTAAAAAGACACTCAAAAGGGAAGTGCATCCCATATACAAATGCACATAGCCACAAGGGCACTATGATCTCATACTATCCACAAAAAAACAAGATATCATTTACATATTTACAATAATGCCAACTAACCCAAAAGAATGATGTATATAATCAGGAATTTAAAACCAAAGGTTGTGGTGATACAGCCTAGTGATGTTTCCTTTATCGATAAAGGGAATGGTGAGGGTTCGAGTTCACAAATGGGTGCGTGGTTTTTATTTATTTATTTTATTTATTTTTTATTTTATTGTTTTCAAATAATAAAAAAAAGGAATTTAAAAGCCCAAATAGGAGTTTACTATTCCTCTCCCGCCATATACCCCATCAAAGGCACAAAGGAGCAACCCTCCAAGCGTCTAGAGCTGCCATGCTCACTGTACACCCTCTCCAAGCTCGAGCATGCTCCTCGAAGATATTGGCATAATCCAACAGACACCAAACAAGGCAAGAAAGCATATCCCATTCCTCCATAGCCACTAAACAGTGCAAATGTAGATGGTTCACGAACTCCTCATCCCTCTTGCACAGACAACATGCATTGACAATGATCTCGGCGTCTCCTCCTCAAACATGCCACATAGAGAAATATATGAATGTATAAAGATCTCATAACAAGATAGAAACATGAGAGGTGGTTCCTTAGAGAACCATATCTATGAGCTATTAAATATGTGAGGCTTAAACCAAGGAAAAGCCTTCCTCCTACAATTGTTTTGATGGCCTTGGTCCATCATCTCCAGAGCTCCCAAGGGAACAGGCGTCAAGTCCGCTCATAAGCCTACAAGCTTGAGCTTGTCTCCTCCTACCTTGTCCATCTCTGGGACGAGGTATTACAACCAGTAGTACTAAAAAACATGAACTCTGGCTCTATTTTCGCCTATGAAACAATCTAGAATAATGATCTGAGAACTGTAGACAAATTGATATACAGGGTACAACTGAGCTATTCAAGAGACTTTCTACATAAGAAGCCATTTTCCCTCGACACTGATCCAGAAGTTTGGTTCATCCTAGAGCTTTTTGGCGATGATCTTAAGAGTAAAGAGATAATACTCTATTTACATACACGAACACACTTACACACATATACACATTTCTAATAGCATACTCTGAAAATGATTCCATCAACAACCATATAATCTCACTGGCTCAGTTGAGAACCCTTCTCTAACTGAACTCTCAGTCAATGTCCTCAGTTCTTTAGTTCCTGGAGCACAAAAAGTGCCCCTCCCAGTTCACAAGCTTGGAGACAGCTTTCTCACTTTATTTCACTCTTATCTTCAGTTTAATATGTCATACTTCCTTCCACATCTCTGACACTATCTTACTTGAAGCCTGAGGCATGAGAGACTTTGTGGAATCAAGCTCAAGCCTGACCTCCTAGACATTAAGTTCCAAATAGACCAGGCAATCTTCAATGGGGGATTTTGAGGCTCTGAGTCATGAAGGAATAGTTAAACATGAACAGCTCAGTGATGAAAAGGTTGATGCAAAGCTTAGTAATCTCTCTATGGAGGTTGCCCATGATGGCACGACTGCTATGGTGCTAACTATTAAACTGGTTCGGGATTTCAACATCTATAAAAGTAATTTATGATATTGCCGCCAGACAAAGTTAAGTCATAATTTTTTGATATGTACCTCACCGTTACATAGACTTTGTTTTCCATCATTTCTTATTGCAAACACCCTCTACATTGTCACCTTCAGTTTGATATACAGAAACTGTAGTAACAACTCCTCTTTTTGCTCCTTGTGTGACATTGGAGTATGACATTCATGCTATAAAAAAAGGATCATTTGGGAAGGTTATCAGGATGCTATATCTATTTGTACAGAACCTCCATGGAAATGATTACCTATCTTATGACAACTATGGAAATGATTACCTATCTTATCTTGTGTCGTGTTAACGTGTCGTGTCAAATATTGCCACCCCTAGGCACACCTTTAGCATATAGAAGTCATAAAAGTACCAACATATGCCACCCAAGATAAGTAAAACCATTTTTCAGAAAGGAAAACTAATTTTATATTCCCACTCATAAGGAATCGAGGTTTTTTTGATAGTAAAGAGTCCAACTTAGATATAAATTATTTGTTTTTCAAGCTACTTAGAAATACTTTAAATATTATAGGAAGTATGCCAAGAGTAGCACCCCCTTGAGAGTAGGGAAAATGAGGATCACCTGCACATTTTCTAACCTGCATTATGCTTGTACTGCAATCTCTGTAACTTTATAAGTGTATAGGATGATTGTAAATTCCCTTTTATTTTGCAAGCAAAAGGTTAACAAACACATTAAACACTGCAACTGCAATATTTTCTTGCAGAGGCTAAAAAAGGATTTGGTACTTTCTCTTCTTAACAAAAAAAGAATGCAACAATAGATTGTTGGCTGTGATTCAAGTGAGATGCAAGGGTTACGCAATCTCCTCCCCTCACCCACCAAAGAAGGAATTTTTTTTTTTTTTTTTTTTGAGAGACTGAGAAAGACATATGCAAACACCCTAAGATGAAACAGCTATATGAACATACTTCTGATAGAAGATGAATTCTACCTTCAGCCTCACTTTGCTTGACCATGTTACGGAGCCTGATTGTGTTTGTGGGTATTCAGTATTAATGTATTACATATCCTTAACTAGTTTATTTTCTCTCCAAAGTCCAGACAGGCAAAAGGTGGGAAAAACAGTCTAAAAATTAAAGTAAAAAAGTTGGATTTTTGATCTCCCATATTTGCAAAGAGACACAACTGCTATATAAGGCAGTAAGGAGATATTGGTGACTTGGTGTCAACAAACTTTCACGGTATCATACATAATGAAATCTTCAGATCTAAACCGAGACCAGAAGTACTAAACTCTTGCTTATGCTTTGAGCAAATATCAAAGGAAGACTTTGCACTTCTAAGAAAAATGCAACCCAATTTCATAAATTTCTCATTGGCAAGTATCAAACTTTACTTTGAATAACCCCTTTAGAAATTCCAAACATTTACTGGATCCAGATATGTATTAAAATTGGAGTGGTGGTAACCTCTATGTCACGGTGCCGTGTTAGCCACCCACTTAGAGCAAAAACCGCCCCACTACCCAATGAGGAGCAAGACTCAAAGCTAGTCATTGACAAGGCCGTTTGAAAGCCATGTCACTCCTCCACCTTCAGCATTGACAAGGCGGATTGAACGCCTCCGCCAAATGGAAATGGTATTAATTGTACTTATATCAAGCACCACAAATGCAAAAATAACACATACAATCAACCAATCTGAAACCATGTAATTCAATGCAATTTGAAACCCAAACCAACCAAACTGAAACATCGAACATTCAATTCAATTCAAAACGCAGTATATGTCACATAGCATTTCAAAAGCATAATCTCAAACTAACAACAGAAAGTCAAACACAGTAGCTGAAGCTAAAATCCAACAAAGCTCACTCTAAGCTTGCTGAGACTCCAATTCAAGACCGAGCTCTGCCGGCGGCGCAACCTCCTTCAGCTTCGGCGCATTCCTTTTGGGGGCCGGAACAGCAACGAAAGTCTTGGTTTTGCTAATGGGTCTGCTTTTTTCAAGCTGAACAAAGTCCCCAACTTTGAATTGGTTCTCTGGGTCGTGAGCTTGGTACTTCTTCTTCTTCCTGACCCTTCGCTTGTACTTGGGATGCGGAGCGAGACGAACCACCTCCACTGCCACAGTCTTGTCGCTGGCGGCACACACGACTCGCCCCTGCAACGTCTTCATGGCCCGAATTGGGGGGAGGAAAGTGTGGGGATGAGGGTTTGGTGAGGAGAGAGAGGTAGAGGGTTTGCTGAGGAGGGTGATTGGTGAGGACCCATGAAGGAATTCTGTTGCGAGCTTGGGAGATTTCAATGGAGGGACGAGGGAGAGTTGAAGGAGAGAGGAGGTTAGGGACATTGTGTTGTGTTTGAGAGATGGATAAGAGAGTGAGAGACGAGGCCTTCTTAATGTATGTGTGGATTGGCTATTTGGATTGGGGAGTTCTGTTTCCCCTATTATTATCTCTAGTGACATAGGGATGTAGGTGCATCTCTGATCTTGACACGTGTGCATCAAAACTAGGGCTTGTCTGATGTGACAATTTCAATGGTGCATGATTCAAGGGAAGGCCAGAAAAGGAAGAAAAAATTTGTTGTCAAAATCTAATGCAAACCACTTAAAATTAAACAATTTTAATACACCTACAGCCTACAGGGGATTTAGGTCCAGAATTTAATTTAATTTTTTTCTTCCAAGTACCTTTTGTAAGTCCTTAGTAAGCTTAATATATTCATGGTCTAACTAATTATTTGGCTAATAAATCAATGCAAGAGATAATGGGAGATAGATACCTCTCAGATTTTGAAGGGCCAACCTTGTTTGTGATCATAATGACAAAATGAGTATTTTAGGAAAGCCTAATTGAGTGTATGCAAGTAATATACTCCTGATCCACCTAGTAGAAGATATATAATAGGGGACTCTCAGATTGTTGTTGAATGTTAGAATTAGTGGTTATAAAGGGAATAAATATTGGACATGTCTGACATACCGTATATCAAGTTCATTTGAGTTGTACGTGCATAACACACGTTTGTACGTGCATAATACGTATAGTTCGGATGAGCCGGCCGGTGCACAATGCGTTGAATGCACCAAAAGCTAGTGAACTTCGTTGTATAGTAATCAAATTACTTGAATTATAGTAGAAAAGGAAAGGCATGTAAGTTCATAAACCAAAATCAAAATCCTACTGCATTTGTACACCACTAATGCTTTCAGCACAAAAATATATCTCATGGACCTGACAATGTTTTACATTCTCTTAAAACTTTGAAAAACTACACTAGCTAAATAAACAACCCTTAATCCTCCATGTAATATTAGGTTTTGCTCGTCCTGCAGTTCATAGATCTGCAAAGGCACCTCAGAACTTTCAGCAGCCTATTTATTCTTGAGGGCTTCTGAATACTAGTCTTACTTGCTCAACTTCAATACACACACACACACACACACACACACACATATTGAATTGGTAGGATCCAAAAACTATATAATTTACAATTGTGGGCTTCTGAATACTTCTTCTCTTGGTTGTGCCCATTTGGGTTACATGATTAATGATCTGTTAGAACTGGCAAGTGATATAAATGCATAAGCATTGAAATTTGATACTTAAAATATGGGAAGGGACTGAAAGTCCCGATGGTATAATCACATTCAACATGCATGACTACAGTAGACTGTCAGTAGTACACTAATCTTTAGATTCCTGAGACATGAAACAGTGTACATATACATGTCACTCCCTAGCTTCTCCATTTTAAATGAACACCTCAGAATTCTATCTTCTTGCATATATATGTATGTATGTGTGTGTGTGTGTGTGGGGTTTGAAGTATGAAAAGAAGGCCGTGTTTGGGGTTGATCATGATGGCATTGAGAGGCAACATGTTGGTGGTGGTGTTTGTGATGGTTTTGGGTTGCTCATTTGTTGGTGGACTTGAAATTAATTTTTATAGGGATAGATGTCCTAGTGCAGAGCTTATTGTAAATCAGGAGATAAAAAGAAGTATGTTGAATGATCCTTCAACTGGTGCAGCACTTGTGAGACTGGCTTTTCATGACTGCCAAGTAGATGTATCTCTCTATATCCCTCTCTTTATTCCTCTTAGGGTGTGTTTGTGCTCTGTGTATATGCAGCATAATAATAATAATTTTTTATTTATTTGTCAGTCATCTTAGATAAAGCAATTAGCATTTAGGAGTGCTATTTTTGCAACATTTTCATAACATTAGGTAAACTATAAGTTTGCACTTGAACTAAGGAACATTCATCAATATGATGCTTGAAATGGTACACACACACACACACCAAAAAAATTAAGAACTCTTACACTAATGTTAACAGCCTACGAAGCATCAAATAATTTCTCGATTCAAGTACATTCTAAGGAGATTCAAGAACAAAAATTAATTCAATTAAGTGCTCCCTCTTCTTGTTATTTGTGCATTTTGTGATATTAGCTCTTTAGCCTCTTTTACATTCTTTTGCAGGGTTGTGATGGCTCAGTTCTTCTTAGGGATTCAGAAAGCTTGACAACTGAAACATTGTCTGACATGAATTTCGGAATACGAAAGCTCGAGATAATTGATGAGATAAAGACTTCTTTAGAGACAATTTGTCCTCAAACTGTTTCTTGTGCTGATATAATTCAGTTAGCTGCAAGGGAGGCTATTCTTTCGGTAACTTTTCAATGTTTCACGAAAAATTAAAAACAAAAATTGTGGTTTATTTAGACTTACAGTAGCTTGATTTTTTGTGTTTTTTTGTAGACAGGAGGACCATATATAGAGGTTTTAACTGGAAGAAGAGATAGTATATCTACAAGCAAGGACAGAGCTGACAAGCAGCTTCCGGCTGCTGATATCTCAATCGACGAATTCATAGAGATTTTTCGGCAGAAGAACATTAGTCTGGAAGATGCAGTTGCACTGATTGGTATGAAACTCATGCTTCACTTCATTTCTTAATGTACATTTTGTGACCTGAACCATTTAGTCTCTGCAGGTGCTCTGGCAAACATTTGGTGAAAATATTAGCAAACTAGTAGCCTTTTTTTTAATTATTGGTAATGTTAGGGTAAGTTTATTCCGATTAAGGGTAAAATCATCATATCGTATTTCTTATGCGTCCACTCGCAACGTTTCCATCATTCATTTAAGATTGCTGCTATTTATTGCGATGGCAGACCGTTGCAACACTCAAAAAGAACTTTGAAACATCATCACTCGTGATGAGCCTCACAAAGGAGCTGTGAGTGTTGCAATAGTCGCTTGTCGCAACAAATATATATGTATATTTTGTTTCAATTTTCTCCTAAAATCACATAATTCTCATTATTTATAACCATTCCAATTTGATTTTTAGTTGTACTATTAGTACTAATACTATCTGTTGTTTTTTTTTCTATTTTATTGTATTTGTTTATGAATAACTTCTCAAGATGCAGGGGCTCATACTCTGGGCATAGGCCATTGCCGGAGCTTCGAAAACCGACTCTGGGATCCAATGGAAGATCCCACATTGTCACCTTCCTTCACAGCCATGCTGCAAGTAATTTGCAGCAATCCTTCTCTCTCTGACATAGCTTTTGCGACGAATGATGCCACGACCTTTGCCTTCGACAACAGCTATTTCCTTGATGTCTTAAATGGAAGAGGACTCCTCAAGATTGATTCTGAGATCTCAAGAGATCTCAGAACACTACAATATGTAGTTGGATTTGCAAGGAACCAACAGTGGTTTTTCAACAGGTTTTCAGCTGGTTTTATGAAGCTGTCAAGCTACAAAGTCTTAACAGGAGAAGAGGGAGAGATTAGAAGGGAATGTAGATTTATTAACAATTAGAGATCAGTTTTAGTTTGGAGTTCATGTTATTTGTTCATATGATATTAACCTTTGTGTTTGTTGAGGATGTTGTAATATATATAATAATTAATAGATATGATGTTCGAAAAAGCAAGTCCCACGAAGAAAGTTTAAACGGTCATCTTAAAATTAAGTAATAAAGAGTGACACTTTTTTCAACGTAAATTTGGAAACTAAAAATTTTGCTATGAACACTATCATATTTTTATGCAATCCTCTATCTAAGTAAAATGTGTCTTGATTCTTTAAAGAATTATTTAATAATAAAGAGAATAGTACTTATTATATAACAAAAGGTCCATTGTGAAATTGAACTATTTTCTTTTTTATTTTTTTAATCAAACAATAAAAGGTTATACAATGTTTTTTTTTTTTTAAAAAATCCTCTTTGGGTTAAACATTGGGAAATTTTTAGCACAAAAAAAAAAAAATAATAATAATAAAAAATAAAAAATGGAAATGTAGATAAAAACTGCTGGAGAAATGGATGGCTATGATCAAATAGTTGGATTCTCAACATAACCCTAGGTAGGATGATGATTGGAAGGGTCACCGCCCTACATTGCACAATGTATTGACATTAGGGTTCACACAACCCCTGACCATCTAAAAAGGATAGGCCTATCCAGCTATCATCCACGTGGCACCTCCTTAATGGGACTCAATATCTCACCAATCAAACCCAGTTCGCCACGTGGCACATTAAATCCATGGAAAAGATCAAAAACCCAAGCAACATCATCACTCAAACCAATTGCCAACTGAAAATTTTAATAGTTAGTTATAGTCAATTTGGAGCCAAGACCATGGCATCTCTAGCAACCTTCGCCGCCGTGCAACCCGCCGCCGTCAAGGGCCTCGCCGGCAGCTCCATCACCGGAACTAAGCTTCATGTCAAGCCATCTCGCCAGAACTTCAAACCCACCAACTATAGGTAACAAAGACACAATGAACTATCTACATATATCTATATATTTAGTGACTGAATTTTCAATTTTGTTGTATATAGATCTGGTTCTGTGGTTGCTAAGTATGGTGACAAGAGTGTTTACTTTGATTTGGAGGATTTGGGCAACACCACTGGCCAGTGGGACTTGTATGGATCAGATGCACCTTCACCATACAACTCTCTCCAGGTATGTGTCTCTCTATATTCTTTCGATTGAGATCAATGTATCACATACACACACATAAATATATGTATATGTGAGGAACAAGATTATAATTGGAAAAATTAGAAATGATTGATGGGTAGTTATGCTTTATGCTACAAAATATGAGCACCCATGTTTTAATATGTTTCTTCTTCTTCTTCTTTTTATTTTATTTTTATTTTTATTTTTATTTTTTTAGATAAATACTCGCATGCACTCACAAATACTCACTATGGGCCTCGAGCCCCTCTCCTCCGGGGAGGACCATTAAGGGACCAGTGAATGTCAAGGATTATTGTTTATAAAGTCGGATATGCAGTTAACAGAATTTGGGAAAAGGAGCAAATGTAAACAGTGCAAGAGAATGCTTGTTAAAACTGCCCTGTGTGCAATTAAGGCCTATGACCTCTGAATTATTTTATTTAAGTTAACGCCAAAAATAAGTTGTTCTAAATCATTAAAAAATAAATCATTGCTTATTATAGGCAATTTAAGAGTTCTCTGTGACAATTTTTTATTTTTTATTTTCCTCGAAAGTTCAAACAAACCCACACACATTCACAGTATTGCCCCTAATAGGGCTCAGACACTCAATGGAAAACAGATTGAGAGGTCAGACAATGAAGGGTTAAGATTGTGGTTGATTGAGGAAATATTATCTCACATCATGAAGATCCTCTGTAACCTGAATCATTTCCCCCCTAAGCTTTAAGTGCAGTACTATCCCAATTCAAATTTATTGCAGTCGAGTTGGTAAATTCCCAAAATATCAAAGGTACGTCGAGTCTTCGACCATCTTATCAACAGGCTTCTTGAAATTACGATGCTTACAGATTCAGATGGGCATAATTTGGTTTAATAGAGTGAATTGTGAGCCATGACAGCCCGCAGCAAAGTTTCTTTGCCTAAAACAAGAATTAGGAGAGTTGAATTAGAGTTGCCAACTTGATTGCCGTGAATTTTTTAATTTTGCAGCACTTGCAGTACTTTCTAAATTGTCATGTGAATTTAAAATATTTACCTCAATACCTCATTATATTCATTTGCAATTTCAGAGCAAGTTCTTCGAGACATTTGCAGCTCCTTTCACCAAGAGAGGATTGTTGCTCAAATTCTTGATACTGGGAGGTGGTTCAACCCTAGCATATCTCAGCTCCACAGCCACAGGTGACATTCTACCTATTAAGAAGGGCCCACAACTTCCACCGAAGCTCGGACCTCGTGGCAAAATCTAAGTATCTTGGAACCCACATCCTTTAATCTTTTTACTGCGTTAAATGTATCATTTCCACAACTTGTAAGTATGTTCGAAGCCTACGTAAATGTTCTGCTAATACATTCGATTTGGTTGTGACTTTGGTATTGCTTTTAAATCTAATGAATTTCTGTTCAGATTATGACATTTTGATTATTTCACTACAATGTTCATTTTATCTGTTTAGTTTTGAGTGTGTAGCTGCAAAATTGGTCGAAAATTAATTTTGCAAGCGCCTGACAAATGTTACTAACTTCACTGTCAACATCAAAATTCTCTTTGAGAACAAATGATGCATTTTTGTGAAGTTCCCACTATGCTGGGATAATCCTACTTTGTCAAGAAGTTAATTAATAAGGTAATTAGGGTTTCCTTATCAATCCTACGCCATCTTCAGTCCTTAGTACTAAAAAGTGATTTATCTCTAGGATCGGTGTGCTTAAGTAGTCTAGTGTACAAACCCCATTAATGGGGATATCGGAAAACATTCTACATCTATTTAGAAAAATCAAGAAATTTTTTTTTTTTTTAGTCCACAAATTGATTTTTCGGACAGAGGAAAGCAAGTTCAAAATGCTTCAAACCCAATTAATCATCTCATTTTTCCCTATTTACAAAAGTAAGGAACCATGACGGTAGCCTGCATGGGTCCGAGTAAGGCCAACATCACACAGTCTTGGTGTTTCTGTCCGCCGTTCTCTTTCTCTGCTTTGAATGAAGTTGATTTCAACAATTTCACCATCGGCGTCCTGTGGGACTTTTGAAACCACTTAAGGTCTCAAGCCTCTCTAAGTATGTCAATTTCTTCTTTGTCGAAATGTTAGGAGGTTTGGTGAAAATGATGTCCTCCTTTAGTTCCTTCAAGTCAAGCTCTCCGTTGTCCAAATTCCAGAACTCCTTCACTGCTGAAGAGTCTTCTACAGGGCTCCTCTTTTGCTCTCGCACAACAAAATCTGCATGGAGAACATCATCTATTCTTGACATGACCGTAACGGCGAAGCTTTCTATTATTCTTGAATAGCTCTCCAGAACAGCCTGTCCCACATCCTACGCAGCCAACAAGTGAACATCAATTAATTTCAATATACATTTGAGAATATGAATAAAATGTAACATCATGAATGTTTGGTTCCAAAACATGAAGAAATATAATGATAGGATTATTATAACTGTGTTAAAAGAAAATTAATAATAACCCGGGGGAAAAAAAAAAAATCAGTGTGTTAGGAAAAGGAGAAATCAGAGATGAAAATTAGAATATAAACCAAACAAACACAAAAGAATTTATGCTGTCTTTGAAAATCATAAATGTAGCATATTTGCTGGGAAAAGGGCGATCATATAACTATTACAATGCAGGTTAGAGAGAAGAAAATAAAATAAGTTAGCAATCCATATATTATATGATTTTGCAAGAACATTTTTGAAATGATATAGAGACAAACTTACGCAAAGTTTCACAAATACTCAGTTTCTAGTCCGGATATGAAAACATAGGATGAATTCCAAGAAGAAGACTGATGTCCTTACTCGGTTATATTGGATTTTGGTAATGTCTAGTGAAGATTGTGAAAGTCCTGGGAACCGATGCTTAAGAATGATTAAGACGGTCTCTAATCTGTCTTCGAATTGTTCTCTCTTCTCCAAACTCACAGCTGAACTCCAAGAAGACTTTCCGTCTTTAGCAGTCATCTTCCTCCTCCAGATCACTATGGACGCCTCAATCTTGTTCTTGAGGTCAAGGATCTTATGGTCTGATGATAAGTCCACTGTTGCAAGAAAATAGTCTGGATCAAATATTTCATCTGTAATACTTCTATAGATCACGTCTCCAAGGCTTGCCCTGCCATTCTACCGTAGAAAAAACAAAGAAAAATTAATCAAGGTACTAATCTTCGTATACAAACTTGAATGGAATTGTAGTTTTTTTTCTTGTGTTTCCCTTTTACCTTGGGAAGAGTTTCGATGTAGGATTCTGGGATCTCCATTTCTGCTAGAACTTGAGCATTAATGGCCATGGCTGCTTTGAGTACTTGGTTCACACAATCCTTCTGATACTTCAGCCATTTCCTAGTAACATCAGATAAACCGTTTGGCGGAAGCTTGGGAGTTGGTAACCACCATTTGTCATCTTTCCTCTTCTCTGATTCAGGAGCATCTTTTGAAATGTAAGAGAACTCAGTTTGGTCTCTAAAGTTCTCTAGACAGTCCTGTATATATATAAACACAAGTATCATTAGTGTCGAATGTTCTTATGGGGATTGAAAAAGTTAGAAGTACAAAACTATGAAGAGCAATGTTCTTACAAGCAACATTGCGTCAAGCTTGCGTAGGGCAGGGATGTTCAAGCAAAGATCAGTCCGTTGACGTGTTGTCATTATCTAATAAAACAAAAAATTAAATTATTTCTTAACCTCTGCAATATATATATATATATATATATATACATACATATATATAGAGAGAGAGAGAGAAAGAGGAGGAGGGAGAGATTGATTGTTACCTCCATTTCTGTTCCATCTTTCGATATTTGTTTAGAAGGGGCAAATTCAACTATATGATCAGTGACAGATAAGAGCCAATCAATTTCTCTTCTCCACCTTGCTTTCCTCTCTGGTGGCATGGGCTCTAATTTCCCTTGTTCTCCGAAGACAGAAGCTGGATTTGTGTTTAAAAAAAATTGGGAAAAAATGAGAAAAACTATGGAAGCAATGGAAATATATAAACTTTTAATCTATCCAATCAGAGAAACAAAAAAATACAGAATGATACCGATAAAAGGCTCTTTCGGATTTTAGATTTAGCATACAAAGATAAATCGATGTTTTCTTTCCTGAGCTAAAACCGATTCTGAAATCATCACTTTGACAAGAGAGCATATTGTTATTGTCTGTGGAATCGAAGAGACGAGAGAGAGAGAGAGAGATCCAAGTACCTGCTAGGTTTGTGATGGCATTTGACAATGCCAAAGCGGACGAAACACCCTTTCCTCCTCCAGACATATCCTCACCCAGAAGCAATTTTGCAAACCTTTCCTTCATTAGCTCCATATCTAGAACCAAACTCACCAGCAGAAAAATAAATTATTTAATAAAACATTGAATTGAAGTTGAGAAAAATGAAGTTCTTAGCTATTTCAGGACCTATGAACATTTGTTGTTAACATGACAAATCCGAAATTTACAATATTATCAGGAAAATAATTGTCTCATGACTATATGTTTCAGATATATTTCTTTGGAGGATTTAGGATATAATCTTCATATTTATAGAACTTTTCAAATTAAATGATAATTAATGAACATTGAAAGAAATTCCTGCAGGATTTCTGAAATGCAGGACAAGAGATGACTTGCCTGAGGGCTGCTGCTTCTCTTTGTTTTGAGGGTCACCGGCACCTGAATCGCGTGACTTTGGTGGATCCTTGTCATTACGACTAGGCGTTTGTCTTTTCGACATGGTAGGATTAATCACAGTTTTCTTCTCCTTAGGCTGATCAGTCAAATTTTTCAACATGGTAGGGCTAGTCACATATTTCTTCTCCTTAGGCTGATCATTCAAAGTTTTCGATAAAGAATCCAACCCTGACATTGGGCCACTGATGTCGAGAGGAAGGGTCTCGTTTTTTGGCCCTGGATTCTCGTGCATTTGTTTGTAACGAAACAGCCTAGACTTGTAGATTTCTTTCTCTTCATCAAGTGCTCGAACCATTTTGAATTCGAGCAAAATGTTACAGAAAGAAACAACAGAATCACCTGAAAAACGATGATGACTAAGAGGAGGGAAAAGAAGAAGACAATGCTAATGTGTGTTCTGTTTTTTTCGCTTCGAAGGAGAAATGGGGGAGAGCCCAAATTCCAAATGATACCAAAATGTTTGTTTATTTTGTGAATTGTTGAGGGAACGTGGGGTGCATGTTTGAGAAAGAATAACTATGAGAATTTTGATTAAAAATTATATGGTTGACTTTGTTTATTTCCTTTTCCACTTCTTTGTTGGGGGCTTTTGGTGTTTTTCCAGGAGTGTGAGGATTAATTGTTGTATTCTATTTTTGATGGTCAAAGCTGACAGATTGCAAGTGATAACATGGAATGTGTAACCACCATTCTCTCTCTCTCTCTCTCTCTCTCTGATATTGGACAGTTCATATGGGTATTTTTAGGTAAAACACCCACTTTTATTCCAACAGGGATAAGATCCCTGAACCTCATCATCTGAGATTTGGAGGGGAGAGAGAGAGAGAGTCTATTAAATGGAAATTACACTCTCACCACCACTCCTTGATCCCTTTACCTACAACTTTGTAAAACTTTGTTAACTTTGTATAATGTCTCCAAATGAAGGAAGGATCTAAAGTAATGTGTTGCTATGACCTTTCTCACCCATTCCTTGAATCCACGTTCGTGGCATGCACAATATAATGTATTTTATATTTACTTAACAAAAAGAATATACTATATGTTTTTATATTCATATATCAAACATGTGAATAACTTTATTTAATCTTAGTAATTATTTGGTACTTTTTTCTGTGTAATGTATATTATATGTAGCATTCAGCTATCTGCCTAAATCCATTTCACCTTTTTGGTCTATTTTCCTTGATCAATGCTATTTTTATATAAATACGGTTAAAGTGCAAGAAAAAAAAAAAATTAAATTAACGCCATATAAAAAAAAAAAAGTGCAAGAAACGCTCTTACTATTTATTATGTGCATGTATATGTTGACACTCATTTTGGTAATTCGGCTTGGACTACAATTAGGCGGGTTGAAAATGTGTGGTAATTAGTTTGGGCTGAAAGCCATTACTATTCTACATGGATCAAATAATAAACTTGGACTACAATTGGGATAATGATGTTGCAGTTAAAGAAGGATTGGATTTTGCATGGATTATGTTCAAAAGCGTTAGAGATAGAGTTGGTTTGGATGACTTGAAGTAACAAATTGATAGGAAGTATATTGCTAATATATATCGATTAGTTTATTTATTTAATTGCATAATTATGCTTATATATAGGAGTAGGTTATTATTTGAAAACAGTAATTAGTTATTTGATAAAGTGTTTTGATGTAATTAGAATGCTTATGTGTAGGATTTTGTTAACGTTTTATTCTATAAATAATCAAAGAGGCATGTTGTGATAGAGGTCCGGCACTCTCAACATCTTTAATTTATTGTGTTTGCTTTCTCAAGCTCCTTTCCCAGAATAACATCCTTACTATTTCTATTTCTATCTTTCTATCTATCTTTCTCGCTAAATCTCTCCCTCTATTTCTTTCTATATCTATTTCTATCCCCTTTCTATTATCTCAAATTATTACTATATATCATTCACGGATAAAAGTCCTTTTAATTAAGGCAATTTTTTTTTTTTTTTTCCTAGTTGGTACTCACACACACATGTTTCTTCTAAGACTTGAACCCCTGACGTAAGAGGTCGATACCGCTAAGTCACTGACCCGTTGGTAATTAAGGCAATTTTGAACTCAAAAGAGGAGTTTTATTGTTCCCCTTTTCTTTGCATTGTCTGAAAGTCAATTTTCTTAAAGGGACTGCAGTTGACAATTTATACTTGAACCATATAATTGGTTCTGGTACGCCTGTATTACATCAATTTAGAATCGACTCTAGTCAGCCGATTTTAGCGTCAACATTTTTTGCATGCCCGGTGGGACCCCCACTAGGTGAATAATTTATAGCAAAGATGCCTCCCAAGAAGAATTCAAAGACAACGAATTTAAACGAGGAAGAGAAGAGGAAGTTCAGCCAACTGGCCAAGTTGGATCCCATATAGTAGAAACATCCTTCCCATCAAATGTTCCAATCAAACAAATGTTTGAAGTTATCATACAGAGAATGGAAAGCCAGGAGACCTGTTTTGGGAGCTCGAATGGATGGGATGGGTTTGAAGGTGGATTAAGTATCAAATCAAATATTAGCTGTTTAAAGCCGATCTGATCAAGCCAAAGCTTCAAATGTCCACGAGTCATTAGTTCAATATATTTCTTTATCAAAAGTGATCATTCCTAAAGAGCCAAGAACAACAATGACAGGATTTGTGCTACCGAACCCAACTATCGGCATGCCGATTCCCAACTATCGGCATGCCGATTCCCAACTATCGGCATATCGATCGGTAATCCAACGATACTATCAGATCCCCCAGCGATAATTGCTATGCCGGTATATTAGCCGCCGGTAAATCACCAACAGAATTAGAATGTGCAACGCCTACTGATGCAGCCGATTCTTCCTTTAAGAGATCAGTAAGAAGGGGGCAATCAGAACCAAGGTAGGGTTAACCCATTAATACCACCGGCGGCTGCCGGGGGGCATGTAAATGCAAATCCACAACGAGAATGGGTTTACCCATATGTTCCACTTCATCCAAATGATCCTCCAGGCCAAAATGCGGGGATCGATAGGGCTCAGATTCTAGCCCTAATACAGGCCGAGGTAGCGCAGGGACGCAGATATGCTCGGCCTGTGTATAGGAAACCTTATCCTGACCATGTCGATACTCATGAGTTGCTTATAAATTATCAATATCTTGATTTTTCTATGTACAGTGGTGAGGAGATCTTTTCTATAGTACAACATATTGCAAGGTTCATAGCACAATGTGGGGAAGCAGGTCCCAATCCTTGGTTGAGGATGAGGTTATTCTTTAGTTTTCTCGCTAGGGGGCATTTGAATGGTACATCAATTTACCAGCTAACTCTATTCAGACGTGGGATGAAATGGAAGAAGCTTTCCATACCAAGTTTTACCGAACAGAGAAAGAAGCAACGTTGGAAAATATATTTCGATTATCCCAGTTGCCAAGCGAATCGGTTGAAACTTTCGTGGCCAGATTTAGAAAGGCCAAACTTAAGTGCTGAGTAAGTTTGCCTGAACCAGAGTATATCAAGTTAGCATTAAATGGTTTGGACATTGAACATCGCAAAAGGTTTAATGGGGTTGAATTTCAAGATCTGTTCGATTTAGCAGATAGGGCCACTCGGTATGAGGATATACTTAAAAAAGAAAATGAAAGGAAGAATTCCTCGTTACTACAAAGACCCTAATTATGAAGTGTTCTCGGCAGAAATTGGTGATGAATTAGAAGTTGACGTTGCTGAGGTCAATATCAAGAAGCCTTATATCTGTGAGGCATTGATCAAACCTAAGCCAACCACGAGGGGCAATACAACATCAACATTGGCAGCAAGGAAAGGAGTTGCTGATACAGGGAAAATCTATTCTTTCGATTTATCAAAAATAGATCAAATCTTTGATCACTCGATGGCCGATAAAATGATCTCTTTGCCTAAGGGGCATAAAATTCCATCAGCAAGTGACCTGAAAGGAAAAGAGTATTGTAAGTATCATAACTCTTGGAACCATGCTACTAATGATTGTACTATTTTACGAGGTATGTTGTAGAAAGCTATTGATGAAGGTACATTAAAATTTTCGGAGAAAACATTAGCTACCATGAAGGTGGATACCAATCCATTTCCTATAATCACATTGACTAATGTGATAAGCTTAGCCAAGCGAGAAAATCGACAGGAGGCCGAGAAGATCTCAGGTGAGTTTTTTTCATCAAGTGTGACACCAGAAAAGATGGCAGAATTGTAGAGACAACTAAGAGAGGCTCAATTGGCCTTGATAAACCATGGCTATTGCCCAAATTGTAAGGGGTAGCAGAAACCTAAGGAAGAAGAGCTAATAGAGGTTCAACCAAAGAGGAAAGGGATTCTTGAAAGGCTTACCTTCCTAATTAAGCCCAGTGAAGAGCTTCGGTAGGGTAATTCCAGCAAAAGTCACTTAAAGGCAGAGAAGAAGGATCGGTAAAAATATATATGTAATCGATTCCATTCCCAGTATCGACATCCCAGTTTTAAACGACGTTCGCCAGTCTAATCAGAAATTTGGGTACAAAAGGGCACCGATTCCCATAAAGTACGAACTGTACGACCAAGGATAGATGGACTCGAGTCAATCACCCAAAATTTCCTAGAGTTTAGCAACATCCGAGTGGAGGCCCTACTCGATCTCAGAAATGCAGGGAACAAAGGAGAAGGGCTGAGGAAAAAAGGAAAATAGAAAAGGTAGGTCAATATTCCAGAGAAAGATCAATCGGATAAGGTTGAAGAGCATCAGCCGAAGTGGCCTAGACGCAAAAATGAGTTTAGAATTCAGTTTGGCAGTTTCCCAGATGAAATATCCTGTAATATGGCATTCCTATTACCAGCAATGTTCCAGGTCCCATCAGCATTAACTGCGGATACTGAAAAGAATGAGAAAACAGAAGGAAAAGGTAGTGCCGAGGAGAAAGAAACTCAGTCGATTAAGAAGTTATCAATTCTTTCTTTAGAATTGGCAAAGAAGGTAGTCTTTGAGAAACCTTTGTTAACAATGGCTCAACAATTAAGGCCTTTGTATGTGAAGGTATGGGTAGAAGGCCAACCTGTCAACCGAGTCTTGGTAGATAACGGTTCAGTTCTAAATGTTATCCTAACTAGTACATTAAAGAAACTCGGCAAGAATATGAAAGATGTTATTCCCACTGATGTAGCTATATATGGATTCAATGGAGGCTCAACCAGCACTAAAGGAATTCTTCCTTTAGAAGTCAAAATTGGAGGAAGAACATCCTTCACGACGTTTTTTATTATTGAATCCACGGCCTTATATAATTTATTGTTAGGTCGTGACTGGATTCATCCAAATATGTGCATTCCATTGTCATTACTCCAGATGTTGATCTTTTGGGATGGGG